CAAAAACCAGGCTTAATTGCGTCCATTTATTACGCGGCCATATACGTGGGTGATAATAAGTATTTGGCATTTTCATATCCATGGGTCGCCGTGATGCGCTTAGCATGTCTGAAATGATCTTTTTGTAGGCTGTGCGCAAATGTAAGAATGTTTGCGTTTGTGTGAGACCTTAAGCGTCCATTGCCCTTCTGGGAAATACATTTACTCAGATTTATGACCTGCCTGCTCAGGTTCTATCGATTATTGCAGCCTGTTTTGTATTATATTTTTTAAGGAAAGAAATGTGGGCTTGCCATATCTCTATACAATGTTGTAGAGAGCGCAGGGAGCGTTTGATACAGCCATCTCTGCAGCTGTTTCTATTCTCAAGTGGAAAAATCTGTGCTCTTATCACCTTTCATTGATGCATGCTGATGAACTCGTGATACATGAATGGCTCCCACTTACACACACAGGCACAAGGACACACATGCACAAAATGGGCCTTAAGCAACTGTAATAGGTCTGATCAGTGCCAGTTATGTTTATGTATGTGGAAAACTCATGTATAATACATCAGTGTTACAACAGGGTAATGGGTAAAATCATCTTAGAGTCTGTGTGTGTGTGTGTGTGTGTGTGTAAACGCCATAACTCTGTTTGTTTATGTACGACTTATATGTGCGTTTGTGCATATATGTTTCTCTGCTTACGGTTCACAGTGTATAATAGTACCTTTGACTGCATGAGCACTTTTCTGTAATTTTCTCCAGCCCAAATGTGGCATTGAATGGTTTTTCAAGGGAGAAAACAGGACAAGGGAGACTAGTGATTGGACGTAAACTCTCTCTCTCTCGCTCTCTCTTTCTTTCTTTCTGTCTAATGTGGTTAAGAGAGAGACTGCAGCAATCCATGCCAGTGTTCATTTAGCAAATGTTTACACCAGATAGCTCTTGCCATTACCCAGTGGGAACTGGAGAGCAGCAAAAAGATCTAAGGAGGGTAAAGAAAGGAGAGAGAGAGAGTAGTTAGGAGACATCAAGGGACCAGAGGAGTACACTGCTAGAGAAAGGAGGAGTAGATGAAAGGTGGACTGAGGTAGGGCTGGGACAGAACATGAGGAGAGATTAATAAGACCAGAAAATGAGTGGAGAGTGGGAGGAAGAGGAAAGGGAATGTTATGGGTGGTGAAAACAGACAAGTTGCAATGAGCGAATGACTAAAGAACAGGAGAGGGAATGTGAGGTACTCTTGTTGTGACTAGAGAGGGACACACTAAATCCCATTAGTGGACATTACTGTGAGGAAGCTGTTCAGAGGAGACGGTGGAATACTGAGAGGGAAGGGAGGACGGAACAACACTAGCAGTCTCAAACAAAAAAAATAACATGAATTTGACTCATGAGTCTTGATTTTCTGTATCAGTTGTTACCCACCTATCTTACATAATCTTGTTGCCTCTCCTGCCTAGAATACTTTGTAATGTTTTGCCAGGAAGGCAAATTACTTGCTAATACTGTTCTAAAGACTCCACTGGCGGTCTTTTTTGAAAACTCAATCAAACTGTATCAACGATGTACCCCTGAAGATGTTATAGAGACTTCTAAACATGCTGATCACCTTTCTGTGCTAAGAAATAATGGCTTCACAGGTAACCTCTCCTTCTGGGAAACATACATGGGGAACATAGGGAACATGGGGAATGATCAGTGAGTCTCTATTTCCTTTTGGATTCCCTCCTAATGAGAATGAGAGAACTCCCAAGATGAGCACCCATGGGGGCTTTTCCATTCCGACAGCATGCGGCGGTCGACGGACGCGTACCATTCATTAGCTGACAATTCACTGGAATGAATCAGACAACATGGCCTCCCAGGGATCCTCAGTGAGAACAAGGAAATAAACGTTTAGTGCTCAAGACGTGAACACTCCCTAGGGCTCTTGTGCACTAAGATAATATAATAGCAGAATTCCCTTTCTTACTGTTTTAAACAGGAAAGAAAACAAGGAGCTTCAGAATTCAGCATCGCCTCAGATCCTGTGTGAACGCCCCTTCTCTTGCTTTCCAGGCACGGGGAAAATGGAATGAGCTGTATAATACCTTTGGCAGAGTGCTTTTCCTTTGGTGTCAGTCTTTTGAAGGGAGACTGAAAAGCCTGTGACTCTGGAGTGATTTTGCACAGAACTAAATCTCAAATATATCATCTTCAAATACCTACTCAAGGCAAGGGACTGATGAGCAATTTTCATCCATAGGTGATGCTCTCTTTAAACTCCACATAGATGTGAGGGATGATGTACTACTCCTTCCCTCAGTGGCCTTTGATGGTGATTGTGCACCAAAGGAGGTGAAGATACATGATTGCTGATGCTGGCTTTTTCAGATGGGAAATTCACCAAGGGTTTCACAAGAAGCATCTTGTGAGATTTAGCTGGAACATCCTTCATGCTTTTACCCCATTGTCCCCCGATACAGCACTGGATCCCCATTGTACCCCCCAGCGGAGGTTAGAGCAGGACACACTGACCCCAGCCTGAGCAATGTAATGTCGAGACATGGAGCAATTCTCTCCCTGGTGATGGTTGGAGGAAGGGAGGGGAGCAGTCATTTAGAGGAAATGGCTATGTCTAGCAGTGCAGTGTTTTTCCTCTGTGGAGGCCTGTGAAATGATGCTGCAGAGTCTGTCTCGGTCTGATTGTTCTCACACTGACACCGCTGTTTACTTGGGTGCATGTTGTAATGCAGGCAGGTGGGGATGCATTAATGAATTCAAGAGAAACTGCTCAAGTCTGTGACTTAGAACAGTCATGCATAGTCATTGTCTTCAGACAGTCTAGAATTGTACAAGTACACTCACACATTCTGATTTTCTCCCTGTGACAAGAATTTTAAGTATGGAGGCACGTCATCTACTTGCTACCAGCAGGGGGTCTGTATTCCTGTCAGACTGGGCTGAATTTCAGAGCCAGATGTTAGATTGGTGGTGGCAACTGTTGGATAGCTGTTCAGATGGCTGGGATGGAGACCTTCAGTAAGACAAAGTGCAGCAGCTCGCTCTACTGGGAGACATTATTATACAGAAAGACGAGAGACTACTCCAGGCTGAGTATGTGTGTCAGTCTGTGTGTGTTTTCTGTGTATTTACATTTATACTCTACTGTGTACAAATGAGAAAGAGAGAGGGCAAGGGAGTCAGATACTGACAGAACGAGAAAGTTTATATGGCTGTTGGTTGTATAAGTGTGTGTTAGTTACAGACTTGCTCTCACTGTCCGAAATATTGCAGCAATAAGCAAAATGTAACTTTTCTTTATTCATTTTTAATGGAAAGTTGAATTTGAGCCAGGAACTGAGTGCTGGAAGATGATACAGAGCTTCTCTTTAAACTTCTTTCAGATCCTATGGAAAGATTTCAATGCTTATATGCACCAAGTGTATGTATGTGTAGGTGGGAGGAGAGCACTGAGTAAATGCTAAGGTTCCCAGGGTCCTTGTAGTTATGTAAAATGAACAGCAAAGAATGGACCTAAAACCAGTTCTGGGCAAAAAGGCATTTACTGACTTTCTGGAATACCTGAAGTAACAAAATTTCATTTCACTGTACCCAGCATATGGTTGAAATGACAGCAGAGGATGAGTTGAGTTCAGTTCAGTAATGAGTAGTGCAAAGCCTTATTCACACTATCACAGAAAACCAGCTTCTATCTTTTGCATGTACCTCGTCATTGTTATATATGTAGTGCACTGCATGGATGCCCACAGTGCACAGCATGGGGTTCAAATTTGTTTG